ATAAAAATGGTTTGAACCAAGACACAGAAGTCAAAACTGTAATTAAAGCAATTTTAGAGTCCTCTGGGCCAAATGGTCAAATCATGAATGAGCTAATCATTGACTCTGACTATGAAAAGATAATCCAGTTACTCAAAACTGTAGATCCCAGCTGGGCATAGAAGCAAAGGCCTATAATCCAACCTACTTGAGAGACTGAGGCAGGAGGATCACACGGTTGAGACTGATCTGGGCAATTTAGCAAGATCCTATCTCAAATAAAACAAAGGCTGGGAATATAGAGCTTAGGGCATGCCTAGCATGGTAGTGGTTAAAATCCCCACTACAAGAAACTAAGTCCTTACCACTACCACCCCACAAAAACCAACAATACATTTTCCTCATATCCAAATACAGAACACCTCTAACATAGAAGGTTCAGAACACAAATTCAAAAAGCATGTTTAAAAAGACTCTCCAGGAGTAGTCTAATTTAAAGAGTAGTCTAATTTAAAGAATACAAATAGTCATCATGCCTACAGTTCCAGCTATTTGGGAGACTGGAGAATGGTTTCAGATCAGGAGTTTGAGGCCAATCTGAATAATTACCAGGAGATCCCCATCTTAAAAAAAAAAAAAAAAGTCATAATTTTTCTTCCAGCCCTTCCCTCATGTACTTGAATTGAACTCAGGGCCTCTCACTAAGTGCCTCTCAAATGTAGGGAAGCAATCCACCACTGAGCCATGTATCTCTAGCCCTTTAAAAAAATTTTTATTTTGAGATGGGGCCTCACTAAATTGCTGAGACTGGCCTTGGACTTGGATTTTTTTTTTTTTTGCCTCAACCTCCCAAGTCACGTATGCACATGCAATATCATATACAAAATACCAAACTTTTTAACGGTTATGTTCAAATATTTTTGGCACCACCAAAAAAATTAACAAGCGACTTTTCTTGTTTATAGAAAGCATGAGAAATAAAAATAACCCTTTGTGATAATTACTAAGATACTCAAACACCTCTCAAAAAACCAGACCTTTTTAAAAGGAAAGGGGTTGGGGGTATATCTCAGTGGTAGAGTGCTTGCCTAGCATGCACAAGGCCTTAAGTTTGATCCTCAGCACCCACCAAAACAACAATGATGGAAAAAATAAAGGGAATGAACTACTTTAAGCCTCTAAATTCTTGCCCGAATTCCAAAATTCAATTTAATGTTAAAACAATATAAAGCAAATGCAAGATATTCTTTGGGAAGCCAAGAAAAATTACATGATGAGGGGCAGGCTCAAAATGGCTAAGTCTGGGGGTATAAAAATGGAAAATGGTTTGTTCTCTAGAATCAAGAGTGAATCCATGAAAAAGACTTCAAAGCTGAAAAAAACTGGTGACACTAACTTATGATGTAGCAGGCCACAAAAAAGTTCTTAGGGTTGGAGGTGTACCTTAATGGTAGGGCACTTGCTTGGCATGTGTAAGGTCCAGGATTCAATCTCCAGCACTGCCCAAATTTAAAATTCTTAAACAAATCTTGTATTAGATGTTTGCCTGTATTAAATATAAGTAATCATGACAATAAATAATCATTCTTATTTACTAAAAAATTATATGTTGCCAAATATACTTTGTATACATAAAGAAACAAGTTAATTAATTTTCCTGTTAAGAAAATAAGAGGATCAGGACCCAAGGTCTTGACCTTGGGCAAAAAAAAAAATCCTCTCACAGACTGTGTTATACTGCCTCCTATAGGTAATCAAAGCCTGGAGGGCAACAATACCACAGTACTTAGGATAGCAAGATATCCTCTAAACTAGGTTAGAATTTAGAGAAATGAGGAAGATCAAAGTGGAAACATCCAAAATCCAATCAAAGGAACCAATGTATATCTTTAAGACAAACAGGACTTTAAATTTAATAGAAAAAAAAACTTTCTAAAAGTAGATAGCCTATAGATTATATCAAAGGGCAATTTCCACAGGGGAACAGGGAAGGAATAGTTCAGAAGTCAAGTTTGGAAAATGTTTTAACTATAAATGAATTCTGTGATCCACCCATACTAAGAGATACACCCATACAAAGTCTACCATAAGGGTACCCAACTAATTCCCCCATCCTCTGACTTCAGGTTCACTAAGCAGCTAATTATAATTTGTATTCCCATTCAGATTTGCCTACAGGGAGAGACTGATAAGAATAACTGGTCCACTGTAGATTAAGAAAATTCATTCCAATTGTCTTTTAATTTTTTTCTAAATACCAAGCTACCATAATAGAGAAAATTAAGCTTTCATTTTCACAAGTTATGGGCCTCTATTATCTTATAAATAACTTTAGAGATACATTAACCCTTGAATGCCTTAGATCACTCTTTTTGTGAAATGGAAACAAAAATACTTTGTGGACTAAAGTTAATGTGTTTTTGGTACATAAAGACAAGAAAATGTTCTAGCTCACTCAAATGCCCAAGTTCACAAAGCTAGAAACAGCACAAAGCTGGGATCTGAACTCAGATTTACTCCAAATTCATTATTTTCCCACTACAACATTCCTAATAGGTTCTAGTGTCAGTTGTCACCCAGAACTTTACTTAAACTTTCTGGGTTTTATTTCTCTAAAAAACGACCTTCCTTCTAGGGCTGAGGCAACTATAATTTGTGTCCTACTCCACCAAAAAAAAAAAAAAAAAAAAAAAATTCATCCCTAACTTCCAAGAAATTTTTGGGCTATGTCTGTGGGGTTACTGGTGTACTTAATTAACTCCAGTATAAGTGTACTGAATGGCAGGATTGCTCCCATAAACACCATAGCAAGGGATTAATACCCGAGTAGAACTATCTGAGCACTGACTTTCTAAAATCAATGACTGGCTATCAGTACAAAAAGAATGGATTTCATCCCCCAGCTACAAGGCTGTCTAAAATTAAAGTCATAAAAAGGAAGACTGATAAACAGTCTTGAAAAGGCCTACCAAGATGGTTAGGTTACTAACTTTTGACAAGAAATGTTAAAATAAGGACTAAAAACCCACACAACTTTGTAACCAAGGACTTGTGATTTTTCACAGTTTGGTAAATAAATTCCCTAACAGTCCCAATCGAATGCTCAATATCTTCACGTAAAACACTTCCAATGCTAAGTTTAAAATACTTCATGTAAACTGTGTTTACAAGACAAAGTTTTAAAAAATTAATATAGAAATATCATGGAACAGAAATATGAATGAAGTGAATAAAAACAATAATTTGACAAAAGCAAGCTTGGCAAAGAAGGTTCAACAAGTTCAATAGAGATGAATTTAGTAAAATGATTCACAGGAGAAAGGAGGGTTATTCAAATAACTTCCTCTATATTTACATACAACTCTCAGATTTCACATTATCTTGACCTGATATAAGAATTTTTTCGGGTGGATGTTCTCCTCATAGAGGTAGCGTCTAAAACTTAAGGGAACTTTTTAATCCACTCTTCGCAAAGCGTTGCCAGATTTGACTTCCTCTAAACACCAAATATCTAGGAACCTAAGGCGGCTTCTAAAATCACAGCTAATAATTTTTTAGCCCAAAGTTAAGCTTTTAGGTTAAAACCTTCAATCTCATTTTGTTAAACTTTCCTTCTGATTCAATCTGATAAGCAGTCTGAGTCATACAAAAAATACAACAAATTCATTGCTAAGATTAGAAAATTCTCATTTCATCCCCTCCCCCCCCACACACACAGACAACTTTTCAAAACTTTGTTCCCAGGCTTTCTAAACCCCCACGCTTAAGTTCCTCGCACCTCTGTCAATCGGAACGATGCCTTCGCCCAGGAAAATGGTTTTTTATTTAAGTTGATAAGCCTTTTCCCAAAAGACCTCAAAAAGCAGGATATACTGTACCTGGGCGTTGGCTTCGTGGAGTTTGTGCTCGGTGGAGACGTGGTGCCTCAGAAGCAGGGTTTTCTTGTAGTTACGGGTCCCTCGAGAAAGCTCATCGTGCCCCACTTGCGGAAGATCCACGCTTCCCCCATCATCAGGGGTCTTTTGGCACCAGCCGCAAAACATAAGGCCAGTATCCTTTGAATATCGCAGCCAGGGAAAATCCTTGAGCCAGGAGGTCTGGAAAGAGCACTGTAGCTTCTGCATTAGGGACTTGGGCCGCGCGAGCGGGAAGTGCTGGACAGTCTCTCCTTCGCCAGCTCCCACACCGCTGCCCTCCGCTTCATCCCCACCATCGCCGCCCGACCGCCTGCTGCTGCTGCAGCTGCCGCCTTCCGCCCCACTGCCGTCGCCCAGGCTCGCCCCCTCCTCCTCGTCCTCGGTGCTGTCGCTCAGGGACGCGCCGTCCTGCATCAACTCCTTCCCCTCCAGCGCGTCAAGCTCCAGATCCACAGCCGCCGGCCCTCGCCCATTGAAATGCCTCAGGGGCCACGCCGAGGTCTCCGGGCGGCCGCGGCTACTGCTATTGTTGCCGAGACCCCCGCCGCCACCTCCTCGGAAGGCCAGAGTCCGACGGTTCCTTTCCGCTAGCAAAGGGCCCCCCGAGCCACCGCCGCCCAGCGAGGTGGGGCCGACCGCGTCTTGGGGGAGCAGCAACTCCTTGGTTTCCTCGGCGGCGGCGGCTGCCCCAGTGGAGGCCTCCAAGTGTTGGGGCTCCAGGCCCTCCAATTCCGTTTCCTCGTCGGCCCCCCGCCCATTGGGCTGCTGAAGCGCGGGCGGCGCTGGCGGCGGGGGCTGTCTTGGCTGGGGCTGCTGAGGCCAAGCCGAGGCCTCCCCGCCAGCGTTATTGTTCGTGGAACCGCCGCCGCTGGCGGTGACCAACCCGCCTCCTCGGAACGCCAGCGTCCTGCGGTTCATTTCACTGAACGACATGGCGCGCGCCGCCGCCGCCGCCCGGTGCCCCGGCTCGCGCCCGGCCTCGGGCCGCGTCCCGCGCGCTCCCCGCGTCTCCCCCTCCGTTTCGCCCCCGCCCCCGCCCCCGGCGTTCCGGTCTCGCGGGGCTCAGCCTCACCCTCCCGCCCGGCTCGCGCTCGCTCCCGGGGCTGCCGCACGCGTCCGCTGCAGCCGCTGCCGCCGGGCCGCCGCCTCCGGCCGCTCTCCTCGTCCTCCACCCCCGCCCCGCAGCGCTCCGGGCAGCGTCCCGCGCGGAGAAGGGGGCGGGCGGCGGAGCGGTGAGCGGCGAGTCGGGGCGCGTGGGGCCTTCGAAATTGAGAGGCGGAGTGCGGGAGACCCTCCGCTGCCCCCTCTTTTAAAGCCGCGCGCACACACCGACCCTCCAACAGATATCCTTCCTCCGGCGCGCCGAGGAGTCCCGACGCCGCCGCCGGCTTCCGAGGCGCTGAGGTCGAAAGGCACGTTAAACTGCTGGGCTCCGACACATAACGAACCGACAATAAAGCCGGCGGAGCGTTTCCGTCCGACCAGGCCCTGGCGGAGGTCGAATGGCAAATGAACAACGGACCGTGCGCCCACAATGCACCGGGGTAGCAGTAACCGCTGGAGGGGGAAAGGGTGGGGGCCGGGCGGGGGGAGGGGGGCTGGGCTTGGGGTTGGGCTGGGGTGGGGTGGGGGCGCCAGGGGACCGGGAAAGGGGCCGGGCCGCGCCTTCGGCCTGGGGGCGGGGGTGCGGCCGCAGGGAAGGAAGTCGGCTAAGGGGCGGGGGACAAAAGGCCAGGCGTCAGGCTGGGGGTCCCGGGGAGGGGGCGGGCGTGTGCGTCCAGGGCTGGGCTAAGCGGAGGACAAACAGCTGGCGACTGTCAGGGTCTGGCCGCCTCCCCGCTGCCCACACGCACCTACTCTCGCCCGGGACGCTCATTTTCCTTCCCTCGCCACGAGTTCACCTGGGACTTTGGAAATAACTGTGCGGTGGAAGCTGCGCTCCTGCCTTGTCATTTGCTGGGGGCGGGTGGCGGTGGTCAAGGAAGTGAACTTATTTTGTTTCTTCACAAAGACTGGACCAGGCGGTGCCTTTCACGCGAAGAGGTTACAACCACGGACACCTCCTCAGATACACTGTGTGCGCGAGGCAGCACCTCCGGCCCAAGGCAATAATCATTTCACAGAAAACGCACCGCCCCGAGTGTCTTATTGCTGTGATGAAATGGAAATTTAAATAAAAGGTCGAACACGTGCGTTCACTGGGAAGTATTGACATGGGTGTTACATCACCAGCAGCCAATCAGATAACTCCAGTCATGTTTATACTTCTACAAACCACCTTGTGAGTATTACAGTATGTCATAACGTTATAAATATTAGGCAGGGTTTTCCCCGGCAGCGGGGAGGAGTCTGCTTATACGGGCGTTGTGTGCGGCTCCGAAGATTGTATGTGACTCCGAAGATCGTGTTTAATGACAAGCATCATTTTTTAAGACTTTTTTTTAGCTGTTTATATTTCATATGGAATTTTTACATAGAATGATTAGAGCAGATTGAGCTGGAAATGAACCTCCCATAACTATAATCTTAGTGAGATTTTTAAGAAAAAGGTCTTACAATTCCAAGCCCTTAAACTTCTGACTTAAATATTTTAATACGCTAAATTTAGCAAATTCTGAAGTGTTTAAATTCATTTACTAATTTGCAATGTAAGATAAATCTTATTTTGGGGCAAACATATTTCGGGTAAAAAAAAAGTTCTCCAACTGGAAAGATTTTTTTCCTCTTTCAAGAAATATGTTTATTAGAAATCGGAACACTAATATAAAATAAATTCAAAATAATTGTTGAGCCAGGCGTGGTTGAGGCGCAGGCAGCTCCAAAGGCTGAGGTAAGAGGATTAGGGAGTTCAAAGCCAGCCTCAGCCACTCTGCAAGACCAAGTCTCAAAATAAAATGTAACCAAAGGGTTGGGGGTGTGGCTCAGTGGTTAAGCACCCCTGGGGGTTGAATCCCTGATACCAAAAAAAAAAAAAAAAAACACGTTAATGTAGTCTTGTGATTACTGTCTTTTTTTTCTGTTTTTAAGAGAAAAACAATATTTAAGTCTTCAAATATATAATGTGAAATAGGCTATTTTCAAGGTAGCTTTTAAAAACAAATTTTCCTGAACAGATTATAAAATACCATGAACTAAGCACATGCTTGCACATCCAGACTCATATATTGATTGTATAGATTGATTCAAAGCCACTTTCACTTAATTCACTGTAATTTTAGCATCAGTATAGTGTTGTATATCAAACAATAACATTAGTTCTACCTTACAGATTAAATGTAATTTCAATATAAAGAATGACACTACTACCCTCCCACCAAAGGACTTGAACTTTGAGTTATTTTTCCAATGATAAGCTTATTGTCACCTATCCTTGTTGTCCAACCTGGGCACCAGTAATCCACAAGCTTGAAATTGCAATACAGGTCTTCAGGTTGGTGCAGTTTGTAGGTCTATGACCTGGACCTAATTTGTACCTTAAAAAATGAGAGAATTCTCCCTATTGTGCTTTATGTAATTTGTGCCATGTATAAAAGAATTAACAATAATACCATTCTTTGTCCTTAGTGCATTTTTAGAATTCTAGGCATTTTTAAAATATTATATTTTAACCGTTATAGTCGCTTTCCCCATTTAAAAAAGGAGTTACTGAAGTTAATTGCTTAACTGAGATGAAGGTGATGGGAAGTAGAAATGGACTTTTCAACTATAAAATTTGTTTTCATTCCAAAACTGTTAAATTCAAATCTTTGCTTTCTCTCATTTTATATCCCTATTGCACAATAGGTACTCTATTAGTTTATGCTACTGTAATTATATTTGCTTTCTAATGGTGTTAGAATCAACCAAAAGTGTTCAAATTCTTAATGGTGCTATTTTGTTCAAACATATATCTTACCTTATGTTATACAAAATCTACATTGTTGTCTGTCTGGAATTGTTTTATCATGAACTGATTAGAAATGAATAATACTAGATTCAAGTGATAAAAATAAAATGCTTAAATTCTAGGACCTCTGCACTAACAGCCAAACAAGCACCAGTCAGTCTGGTGTGTGTGTGTGTGTGTGTGTGTGTGCGCGCGCGCACATAAGCACACATACATACTTGTGTATATATTTATCACTCTGTGTATATGTATAAATACACACTCACACATGCATAAATATACATATTCAGTTGTTTTCCTCTGAACCCTGAAGGAAGATTGGAAACCTTGAAGGAATCAGGAAAAAAGTTTAAAGGGATAATAATCACAAATATCTCAGAATACCCGATAACAAGGGAACTTTGAGTAACAGAAGGGGATCTCCTGCTCTGTAAATGGAGTTTTTAGGAATTCCCCCACCCCTTCCAGTCTCTTACTAGCAAGCAGGGATCTGTTCTCCCCAATAACCCATATATGTACTGTTAGGGTTCTACCATATTTAAGGGAATTCCCCCTAATGCTTACCAGGGGAACCCCTCAAGAATGGGGCATCCCCAACCAATTTGTCCCCTAATTTCACTTCAGGCAATGTAAAACTGCTGGAGGTTATGCTTGATGTTGTTTTCCCATAACTCTGATGGTGATTAGCTCCTATAACTGGCTCAGTAGTTGATCTTTCATGATCAGACTGTCCTTGGTAGAGGTATGTTGCGTCTATCAGCATTTTTGCCTCTTCAGGGTCTAGAGACAATCACCTATGATGCTATAAGTGGAAATTGACATGATCATCCACCAGAAGGATGTATGTGAGGTTAGGAGACCACCTTATACTCCCCAACCTATAGGCCCAGGCTGGCACAAAATAGGCAAATAAATAGTAAATGTTTATTGGGTAATTTACTGCATCTTCCCTTGCGATCTATTTTGATAAACAAACTTTTCTTCTGTTTGATTTTTATTTTTCTTGGTTAAATAACAGTTATTCTTCAAGTATTGAGTTAATGTTTCCATTGCATTTACATTAAATGTAATAAAATATGACTATAGTTAAGTAATATTACTAGTATCATTATCTATGTAGTTACAGTGAATTACCATCAGTTTACACAGTGTCCTTGTGAATTAAATCAAGGTAGCAATTATTATTATCATTTAACACATGGAGAAACCCTGGTACAAAAAGGTTAACTATTTTGTTCTGGGTTTTTGAGGCAAAAGTTAAGTTTATAAGGTTACCCACAAGAGTAAAATACCCTTCCATCTAAGGCACCCTTTGCCACTAAAGTATGTATTAACAATGTTATATCTGCATAATTTTTAACTACACAAAATTTTTAAATTTCTTGTGCAAATATGCTTATTTCCAGACTTAAGGACTAACATGTAATATAGTCTTCCTTTTCAGTGCCTAGCTAAAATTGTATTTTGGTCTTTATAGGTTGGATCCTAGCATATTTGTTACATTTATTACTATGTTTAATATCATTAAATATTTTAATGATATACCATAATTGATTAATCCTTCATTGTTGAATATTTCATTGTTTACATTTTTTGTTTGGTTTTTTCACATAACTCTTTAGTGACCATCCTCCTTGAAAGTAAAACTTGATATGATAATTGCTTAAGACAAATTCTAAAAGAAGAATTCCTGACAAAAAGAATGAACATTTTTATAAATAGAGATTTTTAAAGTGAACTAGGAAAAGAAATATGACAAAGGCTTTATATCACTGATATACCAAGGGCCATTATAAATAAAATTTTAAAAACACAAATATACACAAAGGAATATATCGGGAAATTACAGAAAAAGAAATACAAATGCTATAGTTCAGACATTTGGGTTTTCTCAAATTTATTTCTTTTTTTAAAATATTTTTTTAGTTGTTGATGACCTTTATTTTATTTATTTATATGTGGTGCTGAGAATTGAACCCAGCGCCTCTCACATGCCAGGCAAGTGCTCTACCACTGAGCCCCAGCCCCAGCCCCAGGGTCCTCTCACATTTCATATGTTAAAACTAAACCTCAGCTGGGAATGATAGCTCACACCTGTAATCCCAGTGACTCAGAAGGCTGAGACAGAAGGATATCAAGTTTGAGGCCAGCCTCAGCAGCTTAGGGAGGCCTTGTCTCAAAAAAAAAAAAAAAAAAAAAAAAGAAGAAAAGAAAAAAGAAATAAACCAATCCCCCCAAACCAGGACCAAATGTTTTCTCTGATAAGTGGATGCTAATCCATAAGGGCGAGCAGGACATGGGATGAGTAGAGGAACTTTGGGTGGGGCAAAGAGGAGGGGGGAGAGGGTGAAGTACACCTTCAGTCTGATCATGAGGTATAGGAAAGATGGTGGAATGAGATGGACATCATTACCCTAGGTACATGTATGATTGCACGAATGGTGTGATTCTACTTCATGTACAATCAGAGAAGTGAAGAATTCTTCATTTGTGTACAAAGAATTGAAGAGCTTTCTACTGTCATGTATAACTGATTAGAACTAATAAAAAAATAAAGTACAAACAAGGTTAATTTAAGGAAAAAATTTTTAAAATAGCACAACAGAGAAAAAAGGGGGGCTGGGGTGCAGCTCGACGTTAAAATATCTCTGGATTTGATCCCTAGTACCACCACCCCCAACACCAGCCCTGTCCCCCCCGCCAAAAAAAAATCCCTTAAAACCTAAACCCCAAGGTTATGACAATAAAAGGTGGGGCTTTTCATTGCTGATTGCATCATGAGGACAGAGTCCTCACAAATGGGATTAGTACCCTAAAAAGAGGCACTTGGGAGATTGTTTGCCCCATGTACAGTGACAAAATAGAGCAGGTACAGAAATCCATATGCAAATATAGGCATGTTTAAAAAGACATTCACCAGAATGGAGTCAATGATTAATAGTATAATTTCACTTGATACTACACTTTGTGTGTGTGTGTGTGGGACAGGATATCAGCAATTGAACCCAGAGGGGTTTAACCACTGGGCCACCTTCCAGCCCTTTTTTATTTTGAAACAGTCTTGCTAAGTTGGTGAAGGTCTCACTAAATTGCTGAGGCTGGCTTTGAACTCCATGACCCTCCTGCCTCAGCTTCCCAAGTTGCTGGTATTACAGGCATGCACCACTGCACCCTGTTCAAAACTTTCTTAATACATTTTCAGTAATCTTATATTGAAAAAATATAAATTATATTGAGTATGTAATAAAAAATAAAACTTTTCATTTTGGAAGAAAAATTTATTAATGACATGTTTTTTTCCTCAAGATTGTTGGAGAAATGTACTGTTCCTTCCTTTTCTCCATGAATTATGAACTAGTTTCCCAACCCCTAAAAACAAACAAAAGATCCAAAGGATTAAAAACCATGGTGCTTTCTTTTCCTAAGAAAATTCCAACCCTTTAAAAATGTAATTTATCTTACAAAAGGTCAACTTTACACGCAGATCTTCAGAGAAGCATTTATCACAGTATATACCATATGTGCTAGACCGGTCCTTCAATCCATTCTCTACAGAAGCCGATCTTTTAAAAATGCAAATCTGATCCTCTCACTCCCCACACTCTTGATTGCTGATCCCATCATCCCTAAAACCCTACAAGGTTTCAATTATTTTTTGTTGGCCAGCATATCAAAACACTTTTTTTCTTTTTTTATAGTACTGGAAATTAAACCCAGGGGCACTTTGCCACTGAGCCACATCCCCAGCCCATTTTAATTTTTATTTTGAGACTTGCTAAATTGTCAAGACTGACCTGGAACTTGTGATCTTCTTGCATTGGCCTCCTGAGTTACTGGGATCACAGGTGTGTGCCACCATGTCCAGGCTATAATGTGAATTTTGATGATGCAGTACAATAAATGGAAATAGTGGAGTAAGGGTTTGATGTTTATTTTTGGTGAAAACAATTATTAAAACTACATTTATATTACTGATATTTCTGTTAAGGAGGAGACCTATTCCAAATATTTACAGCTGCTATTTGGTTCACAAATTCATTCCCCTTGTGGATCAGTTAACTTGGCTCTGTTCAATAGCAACAGATTTCACAATAACACACCTCTTTCATAAATTTACAAATGCAAACCAACTACCTTCATAAGGATCAAGTGATAATGGTACTGTGTATGAAGAAATGCCACAAAGCAGCTGGGCATGGTGGCACATGCCTGTAATCCCAGTGTCTGGGGAGGCTGAGGCAGAAGGATTACGAGTTCAAATCTAGCCTCAGCAACTTAGGCACTAAGAAACTATGAGACCTTGTCTCTAAATAAAATATAAAAAGGGTTGGGGATGTGGCTCAGTGGTTATGCCCCTGGTATCAAAACAAATGCCACAAAGCAGGACTTGCTACACAATTTTATACATTAACTTCATGGGAACTTTAGGTTCCAAATGGCATAACTTCCATCCCCCAGAATTTGAAAATAATATTGAGATCAGAAAATACTATGCTTTGTAGACAATCATAAATTAAGAGATAATGGGCTGGAGTTGTGGCTCAATGGTAGAGTGCTTGCCTAGCATGCATGAGGCACTGGGTTCGATCCTCAGCACCGCATAAAAACAAAGTAATGTGTCCACCTAAAAACCAAAAAAATAAATAAATATTTAAAAAATTAGAGATAAATCTTATAAAAGAAATCAGCATTGCCAAAGATTTGATTAGGATGGTTTTATCTCCTGTTTAAGATTGAGGGTACAAGCCAGTGGTGGTGGCATGCACATATAATCCCAGCAAGTTTAGAGGCTGAGTCAGAAGCATCATGAATTTGAGGTGGAGCTTCATCAATTTAGTGAGACCCTGTCTCAAAAAAATTTTTTTAAGTGGGAAGCTGGGGGACCTGGGTTCAATATCCCCAGTACCAATCTTTTTTTCTTAAAAAAAAAAAAAAGATTGATGGCACATCCTGGGATTAGAATGTTACCTCTTCAGAGAAAACTAGTATTTTCAAATCTAGTCCAGTGTGTGTGTGCTTGTTTTTAAAGGATAGGATCTCACTAAATTGCCCAGGTTGGCATCAAACTTTCTCTTCCTAAGTCATGGGGATTATTGGTAAATGCTATTGTACCTGGCTTAATACAGTGTTCTTCAAACTGGGGTATGCTTAGCCCTAGAGGTACACAAAGAATTTCCAAGGAGTGTATGAGCACATGGACTATTTTTAAGAGAATGGTTATCAGGCTTTCCCCTTCCAAGTGGACTTTTTTCCAAAAACTGAACTACTGAAGATTGCTTCTTTCAAACTAGTTTTTCTTTTTCACTTCTACTTCGCAACCATCCCTCTCCCACTTCACCAAAATAAGCATACATTTCACCTCTTCCTAATCTTAGTGTGGTGCATCGTCCCAGAGTGGAAGAAGAGTATCAGAGACAAGTAAATTCCCTAATTACTTAGTAGCAAGACTTATGAAACTTCATAGTTTCCAGCTTTTGCTTTCAACAAAACTGAAGGACCTAATTGAGATGTCAGTTAATCATTGTAAACAACTTTGGTAGATCACTAAGAATATTTATGCATAGCTTGGAAGGAGTTTAAAGAATTTTGTGATATAGCTAAAACAAAACTACTTTTATTCCCATGATATATAATTTTTGTGAACAAATGTTCTCAACACATATACAAAAGAAAAGGAAAAACAATGAAATGTATGACAAGCACTGTCTGACTCTGGCAAACCCATCCTTGGCATTTTTTTTTTGGAAAAAAAATCAGCCAATTACATGCATTTCTAATAAATGCTAATGTCATGTTTAACAAAATACTTGTAATATATTTATGTTGCTTTGATCAAATGTACACTAATAATTATAACAGTAAGTCAGTTCAGGACATTTTTAGACATTTCACAGAAATTCTTAAATTTAAATTTAAAATAATTGAAAATAGACTTCTGAGTAAAAATATGTTGCAAAATTCTGTGGGGAAGCAGAATGGAAATAAAAGGAAAGTGTAAATTTTCAAACTTTTCCTGTATTTTTCAGTTAATGGTCATATCATATCAGCATGTTTAGATTCCATTCCATGGATTTCTGAGATGATGTAATTTAATTTTGCAGTGTTGATATTTACAACATTCTGGAAATGACATTCATCATCATAATTTGAACTTAAAATGAAATGTCTCAGGTAATTAAGAATGTATGGTCAGGCTGGCATGGTGGTGTGTGCCTGTAACCCCAGCAACTTGGGAGGCTGAGGCAGGAGGATCACAAATTCAAAGGCAGCCTGAGTACCTTAGTGAGATCCTGTCTCAAAATAAATAATAAAAAGGGCTGATGATGTGACTCAGTGGTTAAGTGCCCCTGGGTATCCTTGGTACCAAAAAAAGAAAAAGAAAAAAATGCATAGATGAGTATTTTTTCAAAACATTTTTAGGAAGGACATTAATCTTGTTCAGCGTTTTCTAAATGCCATCTTTCACCAATTGGTGGTGAAATGAAAAATACATTTTACTACTGAGCATTTTACTAGTATCCCTAGAGCCCTAGAAAATTTTTTATGAAAT